AATTGCGCACAGCAATGTCCCACAAACAGTCGTAGATTGAAAATGACCAATTTTATTATTGTTTTGGGTTTTGGAGGGATTATTATTTACTACAGTATCACTCGTACTCTCAGTGTTTTACTTTCTGGGTAACGTAATGGTTTCTCAATCATTGTAAAACAGAGTAATTGACAGAGAATGAAAGCTCGACAGAATACTGTTGATTAGTTATCTATCACAACGCCAGACTATAAAAACTATTATTTTAAATGGATTCACCCATTAATCAGGTTTTAAGAATGATGCGTCCCTTTTTTTTTCAAAATCACAAACTATTGAAAGTCCTTCCCTGAATGTTCACAAATATGTAGCTGAACAGTAGCTGTAATGCACAGCGAGCTCACTGAGCACATGCATGAGCAAAATGTTCCATGTGTCCTATTGCATAGAAACACATCTTGTCCAAATACACGAATGTCAAGACGTTTGAAAATAAGTGACTAATTTAAATGGAACGTTGAACTCTGGAAACTTGGAACACAAGGTAATGCCCCTCAGGGATAGATGAAATTCATGAATGACATAATTCTTTCGAACGATTATTTCAAGCTTGTGTGTGAGCATCGGGTGGCTTGGCTGTGATGCCCACCATGGTTGAATAGTCGCCAGGCACTCACTGTTAAGATGGAGTCCTGTAGCTCAGTGGTTAGAGCACTCGCTTCATAAGCGAGACCTGGGTTCGATTCCAGGCAGGGTGAAACGTTGGGCAAGTTGCCTTACTCCACACGCTTCTGTTTACCTAGCAGTAGGAACCCGGTTGTTAGCCGATTGACGGATCACTTTTCTGGGGGTAATAATTCTTTAAAAAATAATAGTAAATTGGTCACTCAATCCACAACTGTTTGTGGGACACTGCTGTGCGCAAATAGCTGCCGCGCTTCGCCCACAAATATACAGTCAATTCACTTTACAGTGTGTTCTGTGAAGCGCTTTGGGACGTCCTCCCGACGTGAAAAGCGCTATATCAAATGCAAGGATTATTATTATTATTACACAGTCAATTCACTTTACCGTACATTCTGTGGAGCTCTTTGAGGTACCTCGAAGACATGATAAAGCACTACATTAAATACAAGGATTATTATTATTATTCATGAAGAACTGGAAAAAGTACCAGAGTTGATCAATATCTATTGAGACTTGGCTCTTCACATGTGTTTCTCAAACTCCGGGAGGAGGAATTCGAGGAAATACCAGGATGCGAAAAAAGAAACGCATTACAGTCAGTCTCTGGTCCATAAATCTTATTCAAGGCATGTTGTTAAAAAAAAACCCCAGAAGAATTTATAAGGAAGGTAAATGCTGGATGCAGAATTAATTGAGTTTCTTAAAAGGGAGATTATAATATAAAATACTTGGGAACCAATGGTTATGGGGCAAAGGCAACAAAATAGGATTGCAAAGGTAAAGTGCTACCATTAACTAATAAATGGGAACAAATTGCCTACCTCCTCCTGTTCTTAGATTTCTAATAATTTTGCATACCGCATTTGTAATTGTAGATTATTCTTTAAATACATCTGCTTTTCAAAAAAGAGTTTTTTATTAATTCAAACAGAAAAACAATACATCACAATCAAATGTGTATTAAATGGTCATTTTAACATACATCAACTTGTAGCTCGGTTTATAATTAACAGTGTGCAGCAAATATCCGGGCAGTACTGTGTTTTTCTGAGGTCAGGAAGTTACGGGGAACCACTACACAATGTACCCAACTCCTCCCTGGCACATACACTAGGAAGCAACTGGCAGCTCAGGGGCACATCCTGAGACTGAAGAAAAGCGAGATGGACTATAACATCACGCAGATTAAGAGAATAATCTGCTCGCAGAGATAAGTTTTTTTTTTGTTTCCTTACAAATAGAATCAGTACTTTTTTCAGATATACTCCCCCGGACATTTCCTCCCCTTTAATGAAGTGTTCTCATCATTGCAATTGTTACTTTGAAACGAAGGTCAAGCATACAACAGATTGTGGATCCTGCACTTTGCGAGGAGTTCAAGAGGTTATTTTGCATTAACTGGTTCGGATGCTGCAGTAAACTGGTTCCGAATAATATTTTTCCTACACAGAAACAATTTCCTATTTTTTGACATCATGACTTTGCGAGGTGTTCCATCAATTCCATCTGTGGTGAGTACACCTGATCTTTATTTATTTCTACTTTATACTTTCTAGAGCGATGACCTTTTTCATGCATTTCTGCGACTTACCCTTTTGTCCAGACAACTTTAATCCCTTTCGCTCCTCACTAAAAGCATTTAACTTTTTCTTTATGGTCGTACGGGCACCAGGCTGTATACACCATGATAATACAGCTTAGACAATCCTACCCTCAACGACTGATTGAAATTCAGGTGAGAGTTACAGCACTTTCGGCGATGTATGATAATAATGGGGGAAATTCCATTAGCAGCTGACATGGCCAAAGCCACAACCAGTGACACCAAAGGGAATTTCAGCTCACCGATGTACCTCCCCTCGGGGGTCACTGTGGATAATGATCAGGAGTGAAACCCTTCACTCTTGAGCCAATTACATTACCCTTCTACTCCAGCTAAGACAAACTGAATCAGCACAGAACTGGGATCAAACCTGGGACACTCCAGGTCTGTGTAGCTTTCCTGAACACTGATTACATTTGTCGAGGCATCAAAGTGTGTGAATGTTGTTCATGTGGTAAGCAAGTGACCCTGCAGCAACTAGTTTAGCACTTGGATTTTCTCAGTGCAGTGTTTAATGAACAAACCCTATGCATTCACAACAGCAGTTGCAAACAGTACCAATAAATCAGCTGCATGGAGCAATTCCAAATAATGTCATGGAAGTGAGTAAATTCTAGTGTGAGCAACAAGTGTGGGCACACAAAAATCTGCACACGCTCAGGGATTAACGTTTAGTTTTCACTGTGAACAAAGACATCTTCAACATTACTTCACTGGTTCTATAGAAAATTATAGTTTAATCCTGCAATTTAATGCACAAAATTGCAGGATTCTGAGCTCCTCTTGGTAATGTACTGAGGAACTTCTGCATCAATGCACAGACAGTATTGGCCTTCAAATAAAGGACCAGCAATGGATGAAATGGAATTACTTTTTTTATTTTAACATGAAAGGTTACTTACCATCATTCCTCTAAAAATACTTTTTGTTTTAAAATTATTTTTAATAAAGGCAGCATTCTTTTAGCTGAGACAATTTTGTCTTTAAAGAGTCTCCAGGCATCTGTCACCCTACCAAGCACTGCCCTGAAGCAGGACCAGTCTGAAAGCCTGCAGGATAAATACTGGCATCAGCAGAGTAACAGGAGCACTGGCTGCTTCAATTACTATGATTTTTAAATAATAGAAACGTTAAAAATTCATAGTTTGCTGACAGGTTGCCAGCAGCAGTCATATTACAACTCATTTATATTGCCAAAAATCCTGCCTGAGCTATATTGTTCCTTTAACAATTGGTTGTCATCAATACTGTTTATGGCTTCACATACAAAAAGATTACCAATTATACAACTTATTCTTATACCCTGTAGCTATTATGTTCAGTATTTTTCATGTCATTGAGTTCCTTATTTGTCTCTCTTATTTTCTGTAGTATCTTTATTGTTCCACCTCCTCTTGTATTTTGTTTTTTCTTGATTGTTGCTATTCCATGGTAATCTTTTGATTTAAGGTTTTTTCAGAATCATCATTTCTCTAACGCTTCTCTGGTAAATCTAACGTTTCTCTAATAGATTTTCCTCCAGGGCAGTTAGTTATATTCTGTTGGCATCCTTCAGTCATCAGAATTAAATCCCTTCTCCCCTGCTGATCTCTACACATGACTCACTGTTTACTTTCTGTTTTTCATATTTGGTGACAGATGGTTCTGCTTTCTGTCTGAGTCCTTGCCCAAAGTGTTAACACTATCCCTCCAAAAAAATGCTAGTTTCTCTCATTTTACACAGACCTAGTTTATTTTCAACAGCTTCCCTGCTTTTGTTAACTTATCTACCCCAATATGTGAGTGTAAAAAAACAGCTGCTTACACAGGACTACAGATCTGCTGTATATTTGCAATGGGAATACAGCACAATTTGCATCATCGAGATAAAGAAGTGGAATTACTGCAATCAGAAATCTGAGGTAATAGGCATTTTTGTTGTAGGTTTAAAGTTGTGCAACAAGAATCACATTCAATCAATCTGAATCTCATGGCACTAATTGGTGCTCCTGCAACTATTACCAGTAACAGCAGAAATGCTAATGTTCTAATTCCTTCTTTTAAAGAAAACATAAGTCAATTTTGAGAAAAAATAAATCAAAGAGTATCATTTTACTGTGCTACCAGGGAACATTATTCGACCTGGACTTTGCTATGTGCCTTTGCTCATCTGCAGGTCATCCCATTTCTCAGTGGGCTCACTAAGTTTACGGCATTAATATAAATTTAAAAATTCCATCAGGAGGGATATTGAAGGAGGAACTTAGTGATTACAAGGCAGTCATGTATTCAAGCAATCAGATAATCATAACTTACAAGACTATCATCACTTGAACAGGTTTAAAAAAGTGAGACTTATGACCTGGAATAACTGCAATCTTGCAACATAAACAGTAAGAGCATTCTGCGCCTGCACAGTTAAGCAGCCGGTTCACACATGTATTACTTTTTTTTATATGCAACGATGGAATCTGAAAACATTAAAAAAAACTTAAAGAGTCACCCATGCAAAATGAAGGGTTGGGTTTATTACAGTTCACATACTGCTGTGGTTTAATTCAAGTCAGCGGAATGCCAGAGCCAGACATTACAGTCACAAGTGTACAATTTATCAATATACTGGTACACTGCCCCAACTGCTTGAGCTGGGTTTTCAATCTAGAACGATTGAAGCTTACAAAAGGACAAATGAAAAAAGACTCAAAATATTCTCTCATAGAAACAACTGGACAGTTGCCTTGGCTATACATACCATGTCTGGTTTCAGTTGGAATACTAATGGGATGGAATAGAGGATTGAGTACACAGTGGTGACCACTGAAGAAATCCAGGATTGTCTAACTTCACGACTGCGAGGAATCCGATGAATGGTGTACTGTAAAAAATAAAAGTCGAGAGGAAGTAACGGCAACAATGATTTTTAATACTGCAAATAGTTGCTGAACTGCATACTGTCACCATGTGCGCGAGGAACAAGGTTTGTCATGGATTCGTGGCACTATTTTCTGATGCGCTTTGTTCCATAAAGTCCTATTCACACCAGTTTGGAAACATTCCACATTTATTTGACACCATTTTGGAAGTGGTGTCTTTCCAGACCAATTTGAAACATTCAATGTTTCATCTTTCTGAGTCCCTGCTCCCCGCTGTTTTTCTGTTCTTGGCTAGTCATGCAAACATGATTAAAGCTCCACTAAATAAGTCAAGAATGTGAAGGGCCAGAACCAGCAAGAGCCAGGAAACTCTCTAACCCAACAGCTCCCTATCTAGTTCAAGTTTGAGGTTAGTCATATTTTGGCAGAGTAGTAAAAACCTCTTACTTCTATCAGATTTAAAATAATCTATAATCCTCGGATTTGATACAAGACCTTATCAGGTCGAAACATCTCAAAGCACTTCCAAGAGCTTTTCTCTGGTGTAATGACTGGATTTGTAGGTGAACGGGGCTGCTAATTTGGACACAGCAATGTGCCACAAACAGACATGAAGTGAAAGATCTCTTTTTTTTTTTATTTGGGGGATTTTTGGCCAGGATAACGAAAGGAACTCCTTTCTTTTTCTCTTTTCGAATAGTGCCTTGGGAACTTTAACATCCACCTGAACAGGCAGACCTTCATTTTAGACCTCCTCTGATCTAGAGGACAGCACCTCAGTCAAAGTAGTGCTTCTCAGTATGCAGCAGAGTGTCAGCCTAGACCTGCAAAGAGAATGCAGGAAAATATTTCCCACAATTGAAGAAAGCAGATGCTATGGCAGGGTGATTTATGACATTACAGTGTAACAATTTGCGGCTGAATCAAGAATCTTGGTGAGCAAAGGAAGAGGGAAACGGGGTGAAAAGCAGAGTGTCGGAGAAAAAAATCATATCTGAGTGAGCAACAGGCTGCTTGCCAGATCTGAAATCCTAGCCTAAATATTCCTCAAAGCCACAATAAAATGTCTCGCTGCTCCATGATCTGACTCAGCATTTACAGCAGCATATGACTCTAATGTGTCAAAAGTAAAACCTTACTGTAATTGTAAAACTATTTACCACACTTAAAAAGTAGAGAATCACTGAGCAGTGAGACTCTAACGCACTGCATTTACTGGCCATCTTTTATATAGCATTGGTGGTTCATTTCGTATGATCTATACCTTCCTCAGTGCAGAAGCAGTAGCTGAAGGTACCAAATTCACATGTAAGAGATATTGTACTTTCATTTGTGGAATAGAACATTTCAAAACTTATAAAATTTATTCTGTGCAGCATAAATCAGTCCACTTTAATCTCACCAGCACAATTTAATTCATTTTAACAGACAGATTTGGCACTGTTTCTTGTAAACTGTAGGACAGCACATTTTGTGCTTCATAAGTTGTTTAATAAAAAAAACTCCTTTAATTTACGCATCAGCAAAAAAAAAACAGGCTGCGTTGCAATTTCTTTTTAAGAGTTTAAAGTAATAGAGACCCTCCTTGATTGTAATCCTAAATCAATCAATGATGCTTATCATTATCAAATAAAAATCTCAACTTTACAGGAACAAGGTTTTTGATTAGGAGACCCTTTAAGAGGACCACTTTGAGCATAACTTCCATTGCGTGCTCCACATGTACGATTATGGAGGTAAATTTGTAGCCAAGGATACACAGAGGGCAGATTTCGAATTCAGCCCCCACCGCCCCGCAGTGCACACTGATCCTCATATAAAATAAACTGCTTGCTGCATGTTCACCTGACTTTTAAATAAATATGATTTCATTGGAGTCATTGAAGCTAAGCAACGACCACATCACATACATTAACTGTAGAAAACATTTCCTGGGCTCAAAAATACAGCAAATGAATTGATAGCTAGGCTCCCGACCCTACTTGTTCATTGTGTATATGGTTCTCTTTTTTTGCAGATCGGGCCAAGAAGAAAGATACTCATGGCAGGGGCAATGGTGGTGTCAGGGTGTGGGTTCAAATAATAAATCTGGTAGGGGGCATAACTAGACCTATGTGTCTAGGAAGGAGGAATTGAGTGTTAACTGGGTGTTGATCACAAACATCAATAATAGCTTGTAATTATATAGCTCCCTTCACGACGGGCAGCATCTCGGAGGGCTTAACAGTGGCAGAGCAGAGCCTGATACTAAGCTAGGGGGAGGGGGAAGAAGACTGTAGGCATGGTCAAAGAGGAAGGTCTTCAAGTGCGACCTGAAAATGGGGAGAGAGGGGGCAACTCGCAGGGATTGGGGAGGAAAGTTCCACAGCTTTGGGGCGTAGTGGCTGAAAGCACGGCCGCCGATGGTGAGACGGAGGGTCCGGTGGACAAGGAGGAGGCCGGAGCTAGTCGAGCGGAGGCAACGTTCAACTCCTCCCTAAGCTCAGGTGCTGGTTTTGTAGTACCCACCTTGGTAAGACAACAGCATTAACGGTGTTACTGAAAATGGTGACCACACTGAACAGTAATTACTGTTAAGCTCTTCTGAGACATTTTGGTGTGCTAAGTTACCAGAAAAATGTAGGTTCCTTCTTCCTTTGTACTTGTGCCAGATACAAACAGTTCACATCTGCTCATTTTGATCCTCATTTACCCTACTGTCCTCCTGTTACAGCAATAGTACTTCTGTTGACCGTTGCATGATTTATAGCTTGATCACACGGGATCTTGTTTCTTTTAATATAGGATATAACATGACTACGTTAGTGGGGAGATTCAGTGACAATGCAGAAGCTGGCATCAGCTCAACAGACATATCAACATTGGCCTCCTCTGGAGTGTGGTAGGGTGCTGATAATAACAGACTGTTGAAGGTTGTGACAGAAAGTCCTCTGCATTGAAACTCCCTCCACCCCAACAACTGCAGTGTAACCTTTACCTTAACAGCAACATTGAACGGCGTGAATGATCTGATATTTAGGAATTGATAACAATGTGACATGCACTGTGTGCTATTAAATGCATTTAAGTTTACTTTGCTACTTTACATGAATCTCAACTATCTTACATTCAGATGCATGTTATTGTTACGCAGCCTCTTTCATTGCAGCGTTGCTGGGTTGCCACTGCAAACTCTTCGTCTGTGAATTACAGACTGGAGTCCTATTTATGCAGCGCTCAAAGAAATCAATGAAGCAGACAACAAATTCAGGAAGTCAGGACAAAACAAACTCCCTGAAATGTCTGCTGCTTTCGTAGACTCTGGTGCCATCTGCAGGATTGGACATAACTTATTTTCCTCTGCAATCATTCTTTCAAAGGTATGACATCTCACTGTGTTGCCTCAGTGTCTCAGGCCACACATCCCGTGTTACTCCGACCGTAATTCTGAACCTGCTCATTTCCATCAATACTGGTCTGGACCGTTCACAAATGACAGCTCTCATTTTCTGCTATTCAGTTTTAAACTCGGAGCAATACTATCAGGCTATGAGGCTCTATCTCCTCACTCCACGCACATCAATCTGATGCTCCGATACATTTTTCCACAATTCCACGTTTTTCATAATTAATGAAGCATGGTATATACCTGAGTTTAGCCATGGTTTCCCTTTTAAATATTAACCTGGTCCAATGGAATATTTGTACTCTCAGGTTTGCCTCCAGTGTTTCACTTACAATTTTTACAGTAACTAAAGTGTTTTATTTAGTTACAGAGACTGCAGCTTGGATGTAAGATTCCTCCAGGAGTCTCAGTCAAGAAAAGTTGACTGTAGTATATAGTTCGGGACACGACATATCAAGCGACTGCCAGGATGGTGGAAGGTGAACTAGATGGACCTTGTTCTTTCGCCTAGCAAATTCTTATGCTCTTAAAAGTGAATGGTACTGGTAAGACAAGGCTCTTATAGTAGGGAGATAACTTTGCGACAATGGATAAAAATACATTTTAAGAAATCAAGATTATAAGCTAGAATGATTAGTTATTATAACAAAATACTGCAGGAAATTATAGATAGACAAAAAGGTTGAAGGTATATACCCCTTCAATTCTTACCAATACCCACCTGAGGTTCAGTATCTTTTTCATTTTTAGCTGCTTCAATGATGCGGACTTTCTCTTCACTCATCTTGTCTGTATTAGCAATGACATAATGTCTTGGAGCATATAATGGGGAAAGGCTGTTCACCAGCCTCAGCATCTCTGTAGTGTGACCCCCTAAAATAGAAAATGAACTTTAAGTGGGTGATCATAGAATCATAGAATGTTACAGCACAGAAGGAGGCCATTCGGCCCATCGAGTCTGTGCCGTCTCTTTGACAGAGCAACTGACTTTTATTAACCCCACTCACCATCTTTCTCCCCATAACCCTGCAAACCTGTCTTCTCCAGATATCTATCCAGTTCTCTCTTAAAAGCTGTTATAGTATTTTTGTCAAATCTTCTGTAGTTCCTGGTTAAATCTTCTAGGTAACACTTGTACCAATGACTCTGGTACAAGAATGGTTAACAACCATCTAGTTCGACATAGGAAGAGAAGAGAATCTATGAAGTTCAAACTCATATTCATCTCTTTGAACACATGATTTTAAATACTCCTGATGTATTCTTTATTACTGGTCAATTCAAAAGGAACGTGCTCTTAATTACGCTGAACCTGTAGATACATAGATTCTGGTGCATAAGCTCAGCCTCTAGGCTGGTATTATAGGGTTAGAGTGCATGTTAGGGAAAGTAACACATCTGTGCCATGACCCACTCGGCCATCTCCGCTGCGGTCTCACACCGCGGGCCCCTGAACCCCTCACACACGCCTTCATTACATCCAGGCTCGACTATGCAAACTCACTGCGTGTCGGCCTCCCCAACTCCTCTCTCCACCGGCTGCGGATCATCCAGAACTCTGCCGCCCGTGTCCTCTCCCGCACCAAACTCTGTGACCCTATCACCCCCCATCCGCGCCCGACTCCCCTGGCTTCCCATCACACAGAGGATACAGTTCAAGACCCTGGACTTCACCTTCAAAGCCCTCCATGGTCTTGCTCCCCCCGACCGCTCCGACCTCCTAACCCCCTCCCAACCTGTTCGCTCCCTCCGCTCAGCTTCACGTCCCCCGCCTCGCTCGTCCTATTGGCGGGCGCGCCTGCCGCCACTCTGCCCCCACCCTCTGGAACTCCATCCCGCAGTGACCTTCAAGACCCACCTCAAGACCCTCCTGTGCTTTTGGCTTTCGATCTCCCTGCTTCCCCTCCCCCACCCCGACCCCCAGCTCCGGTCGGTAGCTCTGTCTGTCCAGCGCCTTGGGAGGTCCTCCCGACGTGAAAGGCACTTTATAAATGTAATGTTGTTGTTGTAATAGGGGAAGCAGCCTCTTCACCCCACCCCCTCCCTCCCTCTCTCCCCCACTCTCCCCTCCTCCCTCGCTCTCTCCCCTCCTCCCTCCCTCTCTCCCCTCCTCCCTCCCTCCCTCTCTCCCCCACTCTCCCCTCCTCCCTCGCTCTCTCCCCTCCTCCCTCGCTCTCTCCCCTCCTCCCTCCCTCTCTCTCCCCCATCCCTCCCCTCCTCCCTCCCTCCCTCCCCCATCACTCTCCCCCCCATCTGTCTCCCCTCCCCCCTCTCCCCTCCTCCATCTCTCTCCCCTCCCCCCTCTCCCCTCCTCCATCTCTCTCCCCTCCCCCCCTCTCCCCTCCTCCATCTCTCTCCCCTCCCCCCCTCTCCCCTCCTCCATCTCTCTCCCCTCCCCCCCTCTCCCCCCATCTCTCTCCCCTCCCCCCCTCTCCCCCCATCTCTCTCCCCTCCCCCCACTCTCCCCTCCCCCCCTCGCTCTCTCCCCTCCCCCCACTCTCCCACTCCCCACCTCGCTCTCTCCCCTCCTCCCTCCCCCCCCATTCCCCCATATCCCCTCAGTTTCAGCTCAGGACCAGGCGCCGGTTTCGCTCACGCGCGGTTTGAGTGTTTGCCCCCCGGGTGGGGGAGGGGGGGGGGGAGGGGGGGGGTTCCCCGCCGTCAGCCACTGACCGGAGCCGAGCACCAGCAGCAGACGGACCGGGCGCCGCTCCCCGGCCACGCGCCGCTTGTGGTTCCTGACGGTCACAAACAGCCTGAGGGCGAGACAGGCGGCGGCGGCCAACGCCAGGACCCCAACCCCGGCCCCGGGCCCCCAACCCATGGTCTGCCAGGCCCCGCACTACGGTGGCTCAGCTCGGCCCCTCCCCCGGCCCCGCCCCCCAGCCCCCGGCCCCGCCCCCAGCCCATGGTCTGCCAGGCCCCGCACTACGGTGGCTCAGCTCGGCCCCTCCCCCCCGGCCCCGCCCCCCGGCCCCCGGCCCCGCCCCCCCGGCCCCGCCCCCCAGCCCCTCCGGCCCCGCCCCCAGCCCATGGTCTGCCAGGCCCCGCACTACGGTGGCTCAGCTCGGCCCCTCCCCCTCCGGCCCCGCCCCCCAGCGGCCCGCGGTCATGTCTGGAGCAATTCAAAATAGCAAGTGTGGACCAGCCCAGACCAGAGGGGGTAAATAATAATAATAATAATAATAATAATAATCCTCGCATTTGATATAGGGCTTTTCACGTCGGGAGGACGTCCCAAAGCGCTTCCCAGGACACGCTTGTCAAGTGAATGGGCTGCGTAGAAAGCGCCGCGTCACGGCTGCCGAGTCGCCTCGAAGCGCTTCGCAGGACCCTCCGTAACGCGAACCGACTGTATGTTTTGCGGTGAAACGCGGCAGCGTTGCTCTCTCGCTCTCTCTCGCTCTCGCTCGCTCTCTCGCTCTCTCTCGCTCGCTCTCTCGCTCTCTCTCGCTCTCTCTCTCGCTCGCTCTCTCTCTCTCGCTCTCGCTCGCTCTCTCTCTCTCTCGCTCGCTCGCTCTCTCTCGCTCTCGCTCGCTCTCTCGCTCTCTCTCGCTCTCTCTCTCTCTCTCTCGCTCGCTCTCTCTCTCTCTCTCTCGCTCTCGCTCGCTCTCTCTCTCTCTCGCTCTCTCGCTCTCTCTCGCTCTCTCTCTCTCTCTCTCGCGCTCTCTCTCTCGCTCTCTCGCTCTCTCTCTCGCTCCCTCCCACAAACAGCCACGGATTGAAGTGACCGATTTATTCATTTCTCTTAATTGTTGTTTTAAAATAGTGCAATTAAAACAATCGTTGCTACAACGGTTGCTTTACTGCATTTTAATTTTGAATTTAGTTTTCTCTTGTAGTAAGTACCTGTACTTTGGTTGACTTGTTTATAGCTTCCAGCGTTTCTTTAGGTTGTTGTATTCAAAAGGACTTCACGATGTTATCAGTGTTGCTCACCATTGCCGACTGAGCCTTCAGTTCCTATACTGCTAACCTCTAGATCTTCCTCACTCTACCCCTCTGTCTAGCTTCATCTCTCTCTACCTCTAAGTCCTTCCTTGATACCTACCTCTTTGAACGCACCTATGACCATCTTTCCTTCTCCCTTAAAGCTACATTTACGTTTCATCCTTGCGATCCATCATGTATTTTTTCCTTCTCTTCTAAAGGTACAAATTCTTTAGCTGAGGTGAGGTTCCACAAGCTTTGGCTGCCCTTTCGATCAATTGATCGATCGATCGATAGATATATAGATAATCCTTGCAGTTGGTATGATGCCTGATCACATCGGTCGAGACATCTCAAAGCGCTTCACAGGATAATGCTGAAAGTAATTGAAGCCACCATGAACCTCTATTTCAAATACACTATTGTGTTGCTCCCACGATCCCTGACTGTACTGCTCCTCCTCTTTGCCCGATTACAAACCGATTCTCCCTGTAAACAGTGGCCTGTCTTCTGGCCTATTTAAAAGCGAAGGAAATAAAAATGACGATACCTGCATGTGCCATTACCGGTTTAATGAATGAAGTAATCCTTCAAATATCTTCCAGTAATACCTCGTGCTCTCTCCTCAGGGTTATCTCTGTATTCGGGCTTGTTTACAGCTTTTCGTTTTTTTTAATATGAGGAGTTCCTGCTTGTCACTGGAGCTGTCAAGGGTGTTTATTTATTGCTGCTGGTGCATTCGGTTTGGGTGCAGAGCTTTTGTACTAAAATTATTTCTCAGGATAGAGCCTCAGTAAAAGGAATTTAGGTGCTGTTCGACATTCAAGTAATACTCAATACTCCTGGACACAGCTGCTTCTTTCTCCTGAGGAAAAGTAGGTGTTCCACATTAAGCTTCAAGGTAAGGAAAGACAAATTTCACGTATAGGCAACAATGTACTGAATGAGCTGCTACCAGCTCTCAAACCTGCTTAAGCAGCTGTAATGTGATCTTGGCAGCTGCTTTTAGGAGATGACACAAGCAAATCTAGTCAGGCTGGTCAGTTCGTAATACTTCACTGATTCATGAGGATATATATTCTAGATCATCCTGCCAAAACATCCATAAATATTTCATAAATATTCCTTGTACAACAGAGGCCTTGGGAGTGAGGATCGACAACATAACTGGAACAGAACATGTATTTTTGTTCTTGAAAGATGAGACCAATTTGCAACTTTAGTTCCACTGGTAGGTTTACAAATTGCACAGGCGAACGGAGTAACTTCCAGTCTGATACAACAAGTCACCATTGAATAATTAAACAATGCTTCTACATTTTCATCTACTTGGTTTTGTATGATCGCAGGTTCTGTGTACGTTCTGGTTCCTGAGCTGCAGAGAAGCTGGAGCGCTCAGTGTGCGTGCAAAATCCAGGGCAGAGTTTGGGCTCACTCTGGTAAGTTAATTTATTTATGTATTTATGGCTCAAATAACTCCAATATCACACTGGTACTGTAAACAGTATGTACTTCCATGTGTTGACATTCAATGATTACAAACAACCAGAATGAATTTCCCAAAGAGAACTCAGTACAGATTTGGCTTGGCTTCCAAGCTGATTGATAAGCTTCTTGATCCAACAAAATCCACTGGGCAGATGCAAAGCTGCCATGGATCTTTTTCCATCACAATGAAATCCATGCCCTTTTTGGGGGGCTTCAATAGGCAGCGCAGTGGAATACACAAGATGCAGTTGAAACCTATGAGTCCACGGAGCAGATAATCCCTAAACACCAAAGTTCTAAAAGGAACTTGGCCAATATCCCACAACTCCTCTTTCCATCCTCCATTTATACCAACTGATTAATGATAATAAATAATAATAATACTTGCATTTGATGTGGCGCCATGTCATGTCTTCAAGAAGTCTCAAAGCGCTTCACAGAATATACAGAATATACTGTAGAGTGAATTGTATGTTGTGGGGAAACGCGGCAGCCAATTGCGCACAGCAGTGTCCCTCAGACAGTCGTGGATTGAGTGACCACATGTTTTGGGGATTAAAAAGAAATGAAGACTTGCGGATGATACACAGACCAGACGTCTCCCTCACTTACAAATGTTGCTGTCACAGCACCAACATTTACGAGTGAGTTAATTTTCCATGATGTGCAGTTTCAAACAGCAGCAGAATATTGATGCTTCACTTAGACTTGAGGAATTCAGTCAGGAATTTGTGCACTAAGTTAAGGTGATCATCTATGTCCCCAATTTCCGTGGACCGTCTCCGGATGAGATATTGTATCACTGGCCAAATTTGTCCTGTCTTGAATTCAGCAACAAACTGAAGCAGATAAATACAGCCATTAATCCAACATGCTTCTCCTGTACCGCCAGCATCAACAACAACAAAAATTACATTTGTATAGCCCCTTTCACGTCGGGAGGATGTCCCGAGACGCTGAACAGGAATTGTGGTGAATTCAATTTTGTTTATACGGGCCCCTGAATTTTGATTTGCAAAATATGGTCACCTTAATTAAGGGGCTGCGTATGTATTAAGTGGAATCATCAATCCCTCACCTGTGTTCTTTTTTTAAATCAGCGAAAGAACCCCCTTTTTTTTTTACATTTTTGGAGTTTTACATTTCCAAGACATAAACACGCATTTAAAGCAAAATCAACAACAACAACAACTTGCATTTATGTAGCGCCCTTCAGGCCGGACGGCATCTCGGCGTGCTCTGCGGGGGTGAGAGATTAATCGCCAGATTGCGGATGATCAATCAGTCTGTGGATTTTTTTGGGGGGGGACCTCAGCACAGTACTGTACAGCACAGCAGTGAAATAAATGAAATTAAGAGTAATTGGGTATCCAGGAAGTGGGGGTGGGGGTGGGGGATGGGGGAGGAGAAACCAGAGGTAACTTAGATCTTTTCTGGAGCCGGAAAGGTTTTAAATGTGAAAGTAAAAGTGAAATGCTCAGAAAGAAAGCTAAATAAGTTATTGCAACAACACCCCCACCACAGACACACANCCCCCCACCCCACAGACACTCACCCCACCCTCCCACACAGACCCCAAACAAGGGCTGGGAGAGTTGGACCAGGGTATCAGCTCCTACTTACAAGGAACTGAATGACGTTGACCCTGAAAGGGAGGAGTGGAGTGAGTGAGTGAGTGTGAGAGAGAGAGAAAAGCCATGTTGAGAAGGACCACCACACCACAGCACATGGTGCAGGAGGATACATGGTGAGAGGTATGTAAAGGGGGGGGGGGTTGTAGTGGGAGGGGGGGTGTAGAGAGGGAGTTATTCTCCAAGCAAAGAGGGGCTGATTGATTTCAACCTTGTAGTTGTATTTTTTTCACAGACACACACACACACACACATACATCCACACACACAGAGAGACAGACACACATAGACACACAGACACATACATCCACACACACAGAGACACACACACACACACACACAGACAGACACACAGACACACATAGACACACAGACACATACATCCACACACACAGAGACACACACACACACACACAGACAGACACATACATCCACACACACAGACACACACACACACACACAGACAGACACATACATCCACACACAGAGAGACAGACACACATAGACACACAGACACATACATCCACACACACAGACACACACACACACACACAGACAGACACATACATCCACACACAGAGAGACAGACACACATAGACACACAGACACATACATCCACACACACAGACACACACACAGACAGACACATACATCCACACACACAGACACACACAGACAGACACATACATCCACACACACAGACACACACACACAGACACACACACACACACACAGACACACACACACACACACAGACACACACACACAGACACACACACACACACACACAGACACAGACAGACACCCAGAGAGAAATTGTAGCTGAAGGTCAGCCCAGGGACTGACTGACTGACTGACCCCTTTTTTTGAGGAGGAGGGAAAGTTTGCAGAAATTTTACTGCTTTTCTTTGATAGAAAGAGAGAGAGAGAGAGGAGAGAGATGAGGGGGGGGGGAGAGCCGACAACAACAAACAACAACACTGACTGAGGCTTCAAGTCTGTGCATTTTATTTTAATTGACATTTTGTTGTTGTTGTTGTTGTTGTTGCTCTTTGTAAACCTCCCCGTGAGTCAGTGAGTGAGTGAGTGAGTGAGAGAGAGAGAGTGTAATGTGGCGCTGCTCCTGTTGGACATCTTCTCCTCTTCCTCTCCATCTCTCTCTCTCTGTCTCCCTCTCTCTCCCCCTCCCCTCCCGCCATGTTTGTTGTCAGTGGGGGCTGACACCCCCCTCACCTCACCCCACCCACCGCGAGCGCTGGTGACCCGGAGGCTGAGGCCGCGGATCAGCCTCACAACCTGAGTCCCCTATCAACCAAACCGACCTCCAGAGCAGGTCATCAGCCACAGACCAACCGCCGCCCTCCTCTCCTCTCCCTCTCCACCTCCCTCTCTCCTCTCCTCTCTACCTCCCTCTCTCCTCTCCTCTCTACCTCCCTCTCTCCTCTCCTCTCTACCTCCTCTCCTCTCTCCCTCCCTCTCTCCTCTCCTCTCTACCTCCTCTCCTCTCTACCTCCCTCCTTCCTCTCCTCTTCCTCCCTCCCTCCTCTCCTCTCTACCTCCCTCTCTCCTCTCCTCTCCACCTCCTCTCCTCTCTACCTCCCTCTCTCCTCTCTACCTCCCTCTCTCCTCTCTACCTCCCTCTCTACCTCCCTCTCTCCTCTCCTCTCTACCTCCCTCCCGCCCTCCTCTCCCTCTCTACCTCCCTCCCTCCTCTCTACCTCCCTCCCTCCTCTCTACCTCCCTCTCTCCTCTCCTCTCTACCTCCTCTCCTCTCTACCTCCCTCTCTTCTCTCTACCTCCCTCTCTCCTCTCTACCTCCCTCCCGCCCTCCTCTCCCTCTCTACCTCCCTCCGTCCTCTCTACCTCCCTCCCTCCCTCCTCCTCCTCTACCTCCCTCCCTCCCTCCTTCTCTTCCTCTACCTCCCTCCCTCCCTCCTTCTCTTCCTCTACCTTCCTCTCTCCCTCCTTCTCTTCCTCTACCTTCCTCTCTCCCTCCTCTTCCTCTACCTTCCTCTGCTCTTTATCTCCCTCCCTCCTTCTCTTCCTCTACCTTCCTCCCTCCCTCCTTCTCTTCCTCTATCTTTCTCTGCTCTTTCCCTCCCTCCCTCCTCCTTTTTACCTCCTCCCCTCCCTCCCTCCCTTACCTCCACCCTCCTCTGCTCTTTACCACCCACCCTCCCTCCTCTCTACCTTTACTTTCTTCCCCTCTTCCACCTTCGCCTTCCTCTTCGCCCCCTTCTCCCTCCCTACCTTTACCTCTTCCTCTCTATCTCTACCCCCACCCCCTTTGCTCTCTCCTCCCTCTGTCCCTCTCTTTAGGTTCCTCTCTGTACCCTCTTACCTTACACAGTCAACCCCCTTTACAGTATATCCTGTGAAGCGCTTTGAGACGTCTCAATGACACGATAAAAGCTCTTATCAAAGGCAAGGATTATTATTATTATGATTATTATTATTATTATTCCCTCATCTCTCTCTAACCCCCTTCACCTTAGCCCCCCCCTCACCCCCCCCTCCCCCCAAGCCCCACTCTTTGTATCTTGCATGAATATCACTCTCTGGGACTTTTCAGAACTAAATCCTGAACGAAATGACTATCTGTAAAAAAGCGTGAAATGAAATGATCCAAAAATTGGTGAACTGTGGACTTTACTTCCTCCAACAACTTAGGCTTCGGAGAGTTGGTATTTTTTGTTGTGTGTGTGTGTGTGTGTGTGTGTGTGCGTGTGTCGGGAGAAAGGATGGTAGGTTGACAGAGAGGTAGGTGGCGAGGGCAGAGATCAATGGCGCTGAGTGGGGGGGGGGGGTGGGGGAGAGTTTCAGGGTGTGAAGGACAAGCCCCCAAAACAAATGATTGAACTGTCGGTTGGGTCCTTCGGCTGATTTAACCCTTCCTGTATCTTGTACACGCAAATAACCTGGATTGTCGGACGTGGTGTAACGAAGTTAAATGATGCCAAGCAGGTGAGGTTTTGAAGTTGGAGGAGGCAACAAGATCTCGTGGCACAAAAAAAGCTCAACATGATCCATGCAGTCCAGCCCTGTTATATCGTGATGGTTGGGATCCCTAAAATTCCTGTCCAGGCTATAACAGGGGGGTGCAGCTGGCAGGTTCACTCCCCATGTGCCGTCTGGTTTCCACGCTCAAAAAAAAAAAGGAGCTCGACTTTTGGAGGGGGTGGTCATCAGGTTGCTGCTGGAGCCATTTCCTGCACAATTAATTGGTGGTGAATTAATGACCCAGGAGTCTGCCATTTTGGCTTGAGAGCCAGCTGAGGTGCGGGAAGCGAGTGGGCCGACTGCAGTTAAAGGGGTCCACG